AGCTCAACACATGCCATGTCCTGAAGTTGGTCTCCTGGTTCCCTGATAATCAGGCCAGCGCATTATTTGCTTGGAATGGAGAAGGCGTCTGGCATGCCTGTCTCCCCAAGGACTCAATTCCTTGTCCCTGAACTGCCCCACTTCTGATTAATAGTTGCTCAAGCCTTTGTTGAATGTCTGTCCAGACCATGTGTATCAGGCAGGGTTCAGTGCTGGAAAGAGATGCCACGTGAAGTATTTTAAGCAGAAAGTGATATAATACAGAGAGTTTGATTATTACAAAAGTAGAAGGGCTGGAAGACTGGGTTATAAGCTGAGATCCTGGAATGGCTCCCTGAACACCATGAAACTCCCAGGCGAGTTACCTCTTCTGCCGTAAGCAGGAAGGTAAGAAACCTGGAGTTTGCCATGAGAACTATTAAAGTTAAAAGCCAAACCAATTAAACAAACAAACAAAGACAAAACATTGTAGCTACAATCGAGAGGTCAGGTCGGAAAGCTGATGTAACTGCCCTAATAGTGGAGCAGAAAACCCCACAGTTCCACGACTGTGTTTGCCATCAGAAAACAGCCAAAAGCAGCAGTAAGAGGACCTCCACTTCATGAATTTGACAGATACAGAGATTTCTGAAATAAGACACTGCACAGTTTTTAAGAATCAAAGGGTTTTAGAGTCAAGTATAGTCTAGTTCCGCCACTGATAATACTTAAGCCTTTAGTCTAATTATTTTATTACTCTATATCCAAGTTTCCTCTCCAGTGAGGCTTTTGTAAGAATGAAACAAAAATTTTTATATGAAGTATTTAGCACCCTGCTTATTGCACAGTATATACCCATGAAATGATACCTATTAATATAAACAAAAGTGGCGGTCACATTCGTGAGGTTTTGTAAAATTTGTCTAGATTCTAGCCCAACTCTGTGACATTCAAGCATCCCAGGTAGGGAACAGACAGGTAGGAAACCAATGCTGAGGCTTGCATTTTCTTTTTTCTTTTTTTTTTTTTTTAAGATTATTTATTTGAGAGAGAGAGAGAAAGCGAGAGTGAGTTTCAGGAGGAGCAGAAGGAGAGAACCCCCAAGCAGACTCCCACTGAGCACAGGACCCCATGTGGAGCTTGATCCCATGACCCATGAGATTGTGACCTGAGCTGAAACCAAGGGTCAGAAGCCTAACGGACTGAGCCACCCAGGCCCCCAAGGCTTATTTAGCATTTTAAGCTGAGCTCCCAAAGCTCTGGTCGTTTTTAAAAAAGTGATATATTAGATGTTATTGAAACTAAAAACTTATGCTCTTCGAAAACCACCTTTAACAAAACAAAAAGGCAAGCCACAGACTAGGAGAAATTATTCACAATACATATATCTGATAAAGAACTTGAATCTCAAACACTTGTAATTCAGTAAGAGGACAAACTACCAAATTTTAAAGTGTGCAAAGTATTTGAACAGATACTTCTCAAAAGAAGATATGCAACTGACCAATAAAGACACAACGGTGTGTCAACATCAGTAGTTATTAGAGTGATGCAGATTAAAATACAATGAAATACCATTGTGCACCTACTAGAATGAGTAAAATTGGAAAGGGTACCCCTAACCAAGTGTTGGCAAGGATGTGGAGCGTGTTCATACACTGCTGGTGGGAATGTAGAGTGGTACACCTACCTTGGATAACAATTTGGCAGTTTCTTACAAGGTTAGGCATACACTTACCATATCATCTAGCAATTCCACTCCTAGGTATTTGCCCAAGGGAAATGAAATATATACCCGCACAAAGACTTAAATATGAATGTTAATAGCTTTATTCCTAACAGGCAAACAATGGAAACATAATCTATCAACGGGTAACTAGATAAACAAGTTTTAGTGGAACTACTAAAATTGGAACCATATTGGAACTACTCAGTAATAATCGGAAATGAACTACTAGTACGCATCAAGACATTTCTAAGTCTTTTTTTGTCTAAGACATTTCAAAACCTTTTTTTCTTAACGTGAAGATCTAATTGGTTTTATTAAACAACTCATGAATGGAGCAGCTTCTCACCTAGTGAGTAGAGAGAAGCTCCCCTTGCCTTTTTAGTTAAAAAGATAGACACAAAAAAAGTGCAAACTGTATGATTCCATTTATTTGAAATATTAAAATGGGAAAAATTAATACCTAGTGACAGAAAGCAGAATAAAGGGGATCTTTGGTAGGGGATGGACAGAAAATGACAATAAAGGGACATGAGTGAATTTGGGGAGTGAATTTGGGGAAATAATGAAAAATTATTTTTATTTTGATTGAGGTAGTAGTTACACAGGCACACTTATGTCAAAACTCACCTAATAGTTCACTTAAAAGGGAGTATTTTATTATATGTAAATTATATATCAATAAATTTGATTTAAAGTCTAAAAAACCTGGGCACCTGGGTGGTGCAGTCGTTTGAGCCATTGACTCTTCAATTTTGGCTCAGCACCTGATCTCAGGGTCGTGGGATCAAGGCCCGTGTATGGCTTTGCACACAGCCGGGAGTCTGCCTGAGATTCTCTCTCCCTCTCCCTCTGTCCCTCCTGCTCGTGCTCACTCTCTCTCTCTAAATAAAATAAATAAAGCTATAAAAAATAAAGTGTAAAAAGCCAAACTATATAATATATGGACCTCTGATCATAAAACCAATTCCCAATTTATACTCCTCTCTAGGAGCATATAACCGTATCTTTTTTTCCCTACACTGATAAAAACCCTGGCTATGATAAATCCTATTAAGTTTTGTTCCATTTGCTGCACGAAAAGAGTTGGCTAATTGATTTGCACTGCTCAGATATTAGTGACTTGTTCAAAATACTAGCTTTTAAAAGGGCAAATAAAAGAAGAGACTGGGAAGGAAAAATGGGAGAAGTACGACAAAAACTCATTTTCTCCGGAGGAAAAAGAGTAACCTTTCCAATTCCTCTAGGCTCTCTCCCCCCACCCCCATCCCTGCCTCCATCCTATGACGGTCTCTCTCCTTTCCCTGAGTCAAAACTTTAGGAGCTATTTTTGGTTTGTCCTTATCCTGACCATCATAATCATTCACAGGTCAGTTGTTAATTCCTTTATAATAGTTTCCCACATCAGCATCATTTCCCTCCCCTCTATTACTTCTGTCACTTTACTTCGTTTGACCACTTTCTATTCTATTGTAAGTACACCAGCTAAGTCTGTAGGTCTATTCAAGCCAACCTCCTCTCTGCTGTGTGGTTAATTTTCCTGAAGCACACCTCTATGATGGTGTACCCAAGATCAAAAACAAACAACAGGAAACAAGAACAACAAAAAACGTCAATGAGCTGCTTACTCCATAACACCCCAATACCAGCCTTCAAATTCCTCCAGAATTGGGCTGCAACCTGCATTCCCAGACTTAGAGCCCATTATTTTCTTGCATCTACTCAGGCTACACAGGGTAGTGGTGGAGAGCTGTCATTACTATCTCTGTGAACAAAAGCAACATGGAGAGCCAACGATTTCTAAAGTTGTGTCTGTCCTAAGCTGTGTACAAAGGGCAACCTCTGGCACTTCATCAAATATTCAGAAAGACCTCTATTCATATGCCACAGTTGTTTCTGTGGTCTGGTTTTCTTACAAAGTACATGTTTCCTTCAGGTTTGCCACCATAACAAGGTCGTGTGCCTTCTCTTCTGTCATTCAGAGACATGTTTAGCTAGTTCATTCTCCAAGCAAAGCTTCATATATAGAAAATAGCATTTTTGTGTTTGAACAAATCTTTATTTGACATAATATGTTTAAGAAATCTTGGTCATGGGGAGCCATGTGGCTTAGTTGGTTGAGCTGCTGACTCTTGATTTTGGCTCAGGTCATGATCTCAGGGTCTTGGAATAGAGCCCCGTGTCAGGCTCCTTGCTCAGCCCGGAGTCTGTTTGAGGAGTCACCCTCTCACCACCCCCCCAACTTGCACACACGCACTCGCTCTTCCTCTCTCTCAAATAAATAAATAAATAAATCTAAGGGGGAAAAAAAGAAATCTTGGTCATGCTTTCAGAATTATTTTTTTCTTTGTCTTAAGTGATACAATCTTTATTAAGTTCAACAAATATTTATTGAACATCAACTTTGTGAACTATGCTGTACTACTAAGGGCCTACAAAAGATTAAAAGATGAGTGGGGCAAAGCCCCTTAAACATCTTACGATCTGGTAAAATGTCAAGATAATAAATTCTGGAAATCTTTAATTTAAAGTAAAAAAATTTTCCGTCACTAATAGAGGCATACAGAATGCTAGGGTGGCTTATAAATAGGACAAGTCCTATCTGGTACATGAACCAAGGGTGGTTTTGAATAGGTAGAGTTTTGACAGAGATGGCTCAAGAAAGCTTTCTAGGCAGAAGGAATATCAAAGATAAAACCAAAAAGTTCACAGAATGTTTGGGGTTTTCAGGGAGGAACCAGTGTGCCAGATTCACTGACCCACAGTGTCCGTAAAGGGAGTAGTTGCTGTTGTAGATCAGATCCATTTCAGTCACAGACTGGGGACTTTAGACTTATGTTCAAAACAAGGAGCCTCTTAGGTAGTATATAATAAATACATGATTGGCATAATCTTTGAAGGGATTGAACAGTAAGGATAGTAGAAGGGAGGAGAAATCAGAAAATAAGAAAGAAAACTAGGAGTCTAAGTGCTGGATGGAAAGTAAAACATTGGGAGGAGGGGGTCATAAAGAGGAAGGTAAATAGAATTTTTTTAAAGTGTTTACAGCACTTTGCAATGTATTAAAGTTAAAGGAGGAGGAAGAAGACTAACATTGACCATGCAACTACATGATACAGGCACTGAGCTCAACTATCCTGCTGGGGGATGTGGGCAATCTAAGAGGAACAGCGAAGATGTCTCCAAGATTTCCAGATTAGAGATCAGGGAGAATGCCTGTTCTATTACCAGAAATTGGGAAATTAAAAGATAATTTAATTTGGGAGGTAGCATGTGGTCTTTGTTGGCTTCCACCATGGCGTACTGTGGCCAGAGCCAAAAAGTGCAGAAGATGATGGTTCAGCCCATCAACCTCATCTTCAAATACTTGCAAAATAGATCTCGAATTCAGGTGTGGCTTTATGAGCAAGTGAACATGCGAATAGAGGGCTATATCATTGGTTTTGATGAGTATATGAACCTCGTATTAGATGATGTTAAAGAGATTCATTCTAAAACAAAGTCAAGAAAACAACTGGGTTGGATCATGCTAAAAGGAGATAATATTACCCTGCTCCAAAGTGTCTCCAACTAGAAATGATCAATGAAGTGAGAAATTCTTGAGAAGGCCATGTAGTTTGTTTTTTTAGGTGTCCTTTGTTGGGAGTGTAGCTCTAAAACATTTGTTCGTATTGTTTTGATTACCTTTATGTTATTACCAGAGGACAATAAATGCTGTGGGATTGTTTTTATTAAAAAAAAAAGATAGTTTAATTTGAATGTATCGAGATGGGTGTCTTGATGGAATATTTAGGTAGTGATCTGTAATAAAAACTGAAAATAAAATGAGCCCAGGAGTGGTGGACAGGTAGGTGACATAGGTTAGGAAATCATCCAGGTAGTAGTGATAATGAAAGCTGAGAATAAAGATCATCAAAAGAGAGCTTGTAGAGAATGGTAATAATCTTGATAATCCTCATCATCATTGCAAACAGTATTGAATAATTAACATATGCCAAGCATCATGTCAAACACTTTTCATGCATTACCTCATTTAATTATCATGATAAAGGAATCTGTGGAAGTTACCGTTATGACTAAGTATTAATACACAATGTAAAAAATTAATTTTCTAGAAATAGAATTCCAGCTGACTTCAAGATGTCAAGCAGTGAAGAGGGGGCCATGGAAAGGATAGGAAAAAAGAGCACTAAAGTTCAATGTCTTCTTCAGAGAATGCTGATTAACTCTAGTTGTTGATTAGTAACATAGAAATTTAATGTGTATTAAAAAGTTTTGAAGGAGTATATATACAATGGAATATTACTCAGCCATAAAGAAGAATGAAATATTGCCATTTGCCACAACGTGGCTGGACCTAGAGGGTATAGTCCTATGGGAAATAAGTCAGAGAAAGACAAATACAAATTTCACTCATATGTGAAATTTAAGAAACAAAACGAATGAACAACAAAAAACGAGATCAACAACAAGAAACCAGACTTAAATATAGAGAACAAGTGGGTGGTTGCCAGAGCAGAGGTGGTGGGGAGAATGAGGGAAATATATAAAAGGGATTAAGAGGTACAAACTTCCAGTTACAAAATAAATAAAAGTACAGCATAGGGAATATAGTCAATAAGACTGCAAAAACGTTGGTGACAGATGATGGCTACACTTATCGTGGTGAGCACTGAGTAATGTATAAAATTGTTGCATCATTATGTTGTATACCTGAAACTCATATAACACTGTATGTTAATTATACTTCAATATAAAAAAAAGTTTTGAAGGGATATAGTACGCTTTTTAGTCACTGGAGGGAAAAATGGAATGTAAAGAACAAGTGACTATGAAAATAAAACAGTTAAGAATCTTTATAATTTAACAACATAACTTCAAAATATAGGGTTTTAAACTTTAGGAATAGATACAAATCCACAATCATGATGAAAGCTATTAGCAAAGCCTCTTATTTATTTTTTTAAAGATTTTATTTATTTATTTGAGAGAGGGAGAGAGAACAAGCCAGGGGAAGAGCAGAGGAAGAGGGAGAAACAGACTCCTCGCTGAGCAGGGAGCCCCACATGGGGCCCGATCCCAGGACTCTGGGATCATGACCCAAGCCAAAGGCAGATGCTTAACTGACTGATCTACCCAGGCACCCCAGCAAACCCTCTTATAAACAGACATATCACTAAATAAAAATAACCAAGTGTTTAAATAACATGATTTGAGAACATCTACATACACACATAATGAATTCATGGTGAGTGTTCTTTTCAAATGACAAGGGAATATTATCAAATAAATGGATTTGGGATCAGAGAACAAAGATTATTTCAATGAAATCCAAACAACAGAACTCACAAAGTCACACTTTCTAATTTTGTTGTAATAAAAATAGAGTAACAAAGTAAAAGATAGGCAAACATTTTTAAAAGTAATTCTTGATTAAAGAAGAAATTAAAACTGAAATTACAGGCAAAAATCCATATATTGGTCTACCAATTCAACTGAATCACTATCAAAATCCCAGAGAGTTTTTTTTTTTGAAAAATTGATAAATGGACATCAAAATCCCATGGAAAATCAAGGGACTAGAATAACCAAAACAATATTTAAAAAGCATAACAAAGCTGAGGACTCACATTTCCCAATTTCAAAACTTACTACAAAGCTCCAGTAATCAAGACCATAAGGATACATATAAAAATGATGGAATAGAATTGAGTGTCCACAAATAAACCTTAAACATCAATGGCCAATTGATTTCAACAAGAGTGTCAAAACCATTTAATGGGGAAAGAATAATCCATCTCTTCAACAAATGGTGTCGAATATCCACATGCAAGAGAATGAAGTTGGATCTCAATTTCATAACATACACAAAAATTTAACTTGAAATGGACCAAAGACTTAAATGTAAGTGCTAAAACTGTAAGTTTCTTTGTAAAATCAAAAGTGTAAATTGTCATCACCTTGGATTAAGTAAAAAATCACAGACAACAGAGAAAAATATATAGATTGGACTTAATCAAACTTAAAACCTTTGTTCTTCAAAGAATACTATCAAGAACGTGGAAAGACAACCCACAGAATGGTAGAAAATATCTGCAAATTATGTATCTGATAAGGGGCTAGTACCATATATACACATACACATTGCTGGTGGGAATGTAAAATGGTTAAGTCACTTCGGAAAACATTTTTGTAGTTCTTCAGAAAGTTGAACATAGGATACCAGTGCAATCAACCAAAATCCTAACATTTCTTTATAGAACCAAGCTAATTTTAAATATCCCTTTAATTATTGATAAAGGCTGGGTTGGAGGAGGTGGCTTATGTGTGTGGCAGCCTGAGACACAGAACTAGGCATCCTTACCATCTATCAGAGACACATCTGGATAACCAACTGTGTTCTCACAATGGACCTAATGCTGTAAAACACCAGTGGCATAATGGAGCCAACCAAAATGTGTGCTTCCTATAAAGAGATGGCCCCTGGGCGCCTGGGTGGCTCAGTCGTTAAGCGTCTGCCTTCGACTCAGGTCATGATCCCAGGGTTCTGGGATTGAGCCCCGCATTGGGCTCCCTGCTCAGCGGGAAGCCTGCTTCTCCCTCTCCCACTCCCCCTGTTCGTGTTCCCTCTCTCACTGTCTCTCTCTCTCTCTCTCTGTCAAATAAATAAATAAAATCTTTAAAAAAAAATAAAGAGATGGCCCCAAGAGGAAAAAAGGGACAACTGAACTATGGATGCCTATCTCTTATTTTAAACTAACTAAGCAGGGAAGTCACTCTATCTTCCTTGGGGAAGCTGGAGACTGGAGCTTTGCAAAGGGGAAATTTAGGAAAAAATATTTCTCATGAAAATCAGACAAGTGTGGAAGAGACATTTCCCAATTAACAACTGGATCAAAGGATGTAAAGACTTTGCAGGCTACACACTGCCAAATTACTTTCCAATAGGATGTCACCAAACAATTTGTAGTTACTACCAAAAAGGTGTCAGAGTGGCCAGTTTATATCACTTTTGACAGGTGGGCCAGCCACCGCAAGTTGCCTATGCAATTTCCATTATCCCCTTTTTTGTGTAATAGAATTATGATTTGGGGTGACAATGGGCCTTGCTTATAAATGCTCAGCCTCCCTTGCAATAGTGATGGCCATGCGATACATTACCTACCAATACAACGTGAAACAGAAGTCTGCCAGTGATTCCTAAGGAGTTTTGCTTTCTTAATTTAAATGCCATGCCTTCTCTCCCTCTTCCTGCCTGGAACACAGAACTGATGTCTGAAGCTGAAGCGTCTATTTTGTAACCAAAATGAGAGTCACATGCCAAGAATGATGAAACAGAAATATTAAAGTTCCTTGAAGATATTCTTGAGCTGCTACATCAACCCTACTTTGTCTTTTCTATAGATCATGCTATTAATCAACTCAAAGGAATGACACTGTTCATGATTTCAGCTTTGAATTGTGTTTGTCTTAAATATCTGTCTGGGTTGGTATTTGCAAATCATTTTGTTCTACCTTTTTCTTTCAGAAGGTATTCTTTTAAATAACTGTATTTCATTTTCCATTCCAATCTGAGTATTTGACTGTTTACTAAGAGAATTGAGCTCATTTACATTCATAATCATAATTTTTGCGTTTGTGTATTTGGTTGCATGATATAGAAATTCATCTTCAATTAGCTTAGGCAAAATAGAAATTCACTGGCTCCTGCAACCAGAAAGGATAAGAGTGTAGCTAAATCGAGACCCAGTGAGCCAGAGACTTGATATTACCAAGATTCTCTTGCTCTGCCTCACCTCTTGGCTTCTCTCTGCTTTTGTCCATACCCACCACTCCACACATCTTCCAGGCTTTATCTCCTAAGAAACAAGAAACCCCTGCATGTAGGTCCTGTTGAATAAACCCTGGAGAAGGAGTATGGTGTTCACAGTATGTGCCAGCCTATGTACTGGGTGGTAAGTGGCTGGGGATGATGAGGTTCCAGGATTGACCCAGTTTAGGTCAGATGTTCACTTCCAGGTAATCTAGTCCAGGTAAGTAAGATCATGCAAAAAGATGTTATCTCCATGTGGAGTCTATGGTTAGAGTAGGGATGGGGACATGGGAAGATTTCTCAGAAAAACGCAGGGGCGCTGGGCAGAAAAAGAGGCAAATGGCCATTTTAATTGTTACAGAAATAAAATGTCTTATTTTATACTTCCTGGGTTTTAATCCTTTTCCTCTTTTTAGATATGGACTATTAGTTTGTTCTTATTCTCTGCAATAATTAAGAAGGAAAGCATCCTGTTTCAATTAAACCATTCTTAGATTTTTACCATGTCATTAAAATCAAGAGCAACATAAGAACATTACTCCCCTTTTTGAAGGATGTAAAACCCAGGGCTTTGGTTTCCTTTGGTGAAGCTTCTCCTTTCTTGTATATGTATTTTTTCCTTTTTCATTTAGACTGTAGTCATAGACTATAGCATTGTCTTTGTGTTGAATAGTATAAATCATCTGTTTCAAGTAACTTTATTTCAAATATATACACTATTTGTATAAATTCAATTTAGTTCTGTATATTTAACTTATCTTACTGATTGCCCCAATCCAGTTTCAGCCACCACTCTTCTTTATTGAATCTAAATGTTGATTAAGGGACACCTGGGTGGCTCAGTCCGTTAAGCATCTGCCTTCAGCTCAGGTCATGATCTCAGGGTCCTGGCAACGAGCCCCGCATC